ATTTCCTCAAAGCACCATGCAAATTAAGATTTGGGGCATGGAGCTTTAGTTTCACCATTAGACTCATGATATTTATCATGATATTTAGCATTTGGCTTAGCATGATATTTCATTACAAGAAACCAGCACATTGTGCTGATAGAACAATTGAGGAATAGTCAATATTCCTCCACAGAGAACATGCAAGCTTATATTATCACTGTTTTGAGCTGCATCTTTATTTTATATTTTCATGACATGGCAACCCTTATCCTTTCCGTATGTTGTTCTTTTTAAGTAATTTATGAAAATACATCATTTATTAGAAAGAAATCACTTCTCTGTCAAACACACAATCAGGCTGCTAAGAAGTAGAAACACTGCCCAGTGAGTCTGCCTTAATATTACCTCTCAGGGAAGTTGAAAAGAGCCTTCAGTGATGGACAAGTCAAATATCTGGGGCATGGGTACTGTTTTGCCACAGGTCTTAAAATGTTCTTTCATAGAAGCATTCACTCCATTAGGAGCAAGTGACACTTGACAGGATTCCCAGATGATACAAGCATGATTAACTCAGCAATAATTTTTTTTTAAAAAAGGCCTGAATATGCTTCTGCATGCAGTTCATAAAGGCGCAAAGGCCCAAGCAGTATGGGAGGCAGAGAGGATCTGCAAGGCTCTGAACTGAGAGGCCAAATCTGGATTTTATTACACAAAACTCTTAATGCAATCACATCTACCACATCGCCTCTCAAAAACAACTGTTGAGGCTGAGCCTATTTAAAGGGATTTCACTGTCACTCACAGCAAGGTTTAACCTAAAATAATTATGTAGAACATGCTTAGTGCCTAAATGCATTTTCTGAGACTATTCAATATCTAATTTTTATAATTTCATCATCTCAACAGTTCAGTCACACAATCAGTGAATATGTACCTTATTGGAGGTAACATACTTGAAAAGTTTAATTTAGAAAAGTGAGATTCATTTAGTCACTAGCATTAGGAATTTTGGCTATCTATTTTATCTCAATTTTCCATAGAACAGAGACATTAAATGCTAAGGCTCAGCCTGGGGCAAAATTGTACAGCTGAATTATACCCTTAGGAAATAAGTATTCATCACACATACAATAATGCTGATACAGCTTGAATTTTTTTCCTCTCTACAAAATAATGGGGATAAACAAAATCACCAAGCAGTCACCCAGCATTGTAATTAGTTTGGACAGCAAAATTTGCTTGGTAGGCTGTTTGGCTTCTGGGTGCATTAAAGATACATAAATCAGGCAAAGGCTGTCTACATACCGGGTCACCTGGGGGGCCTGGCAGGCCTGGTTTTCCATCTCTCCCTGGAGTTCCCTGAAAATAGAAGTATCATACTCAAACCTTTATAAGTTGGAGCAGATTAAAATGGAGATGGAGCAGAGCTGGTAAAGAACCTTACATCATTCCCAGGGGTTCCTGGGGTTCCTGGCAATCCAGGGAGACCTCGAGGACCCTAAAAAGTGAAGGAAATGAAAAGTTACTTGGGACGGTGCTTTGGGTAATGCCCCCAACCAAGCAAGCTCATTTTTTTTTTCTGAATATCTTAGTGAAATCATTTACCTGAACACCAGGCTCTCCAGCTGGTCCTTGAGAGCCCTGAGTAAAATGAGATAGAATTATCAAACTTCTACCAGGAATATCCAGAAACGGACTACAGTTTACTTAGCAGAACAAATGGGACTTGGCACCTTGAATACTCTGAAAACACTAGAAACCCTGTACATGGTTTCTGGAAAGCTGATCATGACTTCAGGTAGGTGGTATGGAACCAAATATCTGTTGCTAGAAGCACCATGAATTTGTTGGGCCTCTGACTCTACCCTGTGCTGCTGCACTTGAGCACACAAATCAGTGCATCCAAATCTTATCTGATCAGACATGACTGCCCACAGGGCTCAGAGGTGCAGGACTTCCTTTCCTTTCTACTTTGACTCACTTTTCTCTGAGCCGGTATTCAGTGGTGGGAGTAGAAAGCAAACTATCGGTAGCCATTTATTGTTTCTTACTCTTGGAGCGTTGGAATTTAGGATAATTAAAATGAGGACGAGGTTAGTAAAGAACCCAAAGGCATTTGCTCTATTCCTTATTACAAATGCCTAAGGGTTGCTGAATTAAAAATTACAATTTGAGTCAAGTAAAGGGATGTTTTTTTAGCAGCTGACGTAAGTATTCACTAAGTGATTTTCCTTTCTTATTTAAAAAAAATATTTACATTTCTCTTATTATCAAAGCTTGTCTCTCATTTTCTGTGTCCCTGAGTGATATTTTTTCTTTAAACTTGTTGCTTCTTTAATGAGTTCCAGGTACAATGTTTTATTAAATTTTGAAGATAGCATATAAAGTAATGGGTTTCATTATGGCATTTTCATACATTGCTCTTATCTGTCTCCTTCCCCCACTGCTTTCTCCTGTCCCCTGGTTGCCTTCCTGCTGGTCCCCCCCAGTAAGAGCTCCCTTTTCCTTTTAAATATTTTATTTACTATTTTTTATTTGTATGAGTGAATTGCCTGCATGTACGTAAGTACATCCATGTCATGTGATGCCTGCAGAGGTTAGAAGAAGGCATTGGATCCCCTGGAACTGGAGTTATAGATAGTTGCTAGCCACCATGTGGATTCTGGGAACGGAACCTGGGTCTTCTCCAAGAGACGCCAGTACTCTTAACCACTGAGCCATCTCTCCAGTCCAGAGCTCCCTTTTTTCATGTCATGTGTATTTCATTACATTCTCTTTCTTTTCCCTCCCTTCTTTCCTTTACAGAGGGAAATGTATTAGTTCAAAAGCCTAGTGAAAAATAAATATATAATATTCATGTATGTGTATAGCTGAGACTATATAACAAGAAACAGTGCCAGACAGGAGAAACCTCCCTTTGAGTTGTTGGTCAGGGTAGTCCTAAAGACTCCCAAAATTACACAGACTATTGCCACAGCCCTTGATAGTTTCCCAGAACTTGAAGTAAGATCCTATCATTGAAGACAGAACATATTTTGGACACAGGGCTTACAGCAATGGAATTGGGACTTATCTGGAGGCCCTCTTCCTGAAGACTAGCTCTCATAGTATCAGAGGATACCATGCAAGCTGCTGAGGGAGAAAACCAATGGTCCTACCCAGCCGTAAAGCCTATGAACTACAACCATGACTGGCCCAGCAAACCATCTCTGTTGATGCAGTAGTGGCACTTTTATCTTTGGAGTAATTAACAGCTAACTAATTGGACTTAAGGACTGCTCAATGGGAGGGAACTCATATTGTAAATGTAGTCAATACTTTTGGGTAGAGGTCATAGGTCCTACAGAAAAACTTACATCTGCCACATCCCTAGACAAATGTAATTTCTTACTGCATGCTAAATATGTATCTCTATATTTACAGACAAGTATACCTCTCACCACTTATAAAAGAAGCTTCTTTTTGCTACAGATGGAGAATATTACAGAGTTCCACAACTGGTCAAACATAGAGATTAAGTGTCTGTGAGATGCCTAGTCCTAAGTGACACATCTACAATGCAACCTCTACATCTAAGGCTCACCAAACATAGTGGAACGGGGTAGAGAGAATACTAATGCATCTCTCAAATCTCACGGGCAAAGCTTCCTCATAAAACAGATGGTGGTTAACACAGAAGGCCACAACCAACCAAAAGGTAGAGAATAAGAGACTGCAGAGTGTGTGTCCCTGGATAAGAGTCCTACAGTAAACCTCTGCCACTCAGGCTTGGGGACCATTCCTCTTTCCTCACATCCTCATCAACATTTCTTTTCATTTGTTTTCCTGGTGATAGCCATTCTAACTGGGGTAAGATGGAATCCACAAGCAGGTTTTTGAAAAGATTTATTATTTTAAATTATGTGTATGTGGGGGGGTAAGGTATGTGCATGGTAGTGTTGGCACCCATGGAACATGATCCCCTGCAGCAGGAGTTACAGGATGTTGTGAGCTGTATGGGTGCCAAGAACCGAACTCATGTCCTCTGGAAGATCAGTTGGAACTCAAGTATAGAGCCATCTGTCCATTCCTTCTGAGAGTGATTTTAACTTGCATTTTTCTAATGGCTAAGGATACTGAACACTTTTGAAAGTGTTTATTGGCTATTGTGTTTCCTTTTGAATGAACCATTTAATTCATTAGCACATTTAATAATAGGACTATTTGGAGGGGTTTTGTGTTTAATTCTTGCAGTTCTTTACAGATTTTTAGATATTAACACACTGATCTACAGTTGGCTTCTTTGGTCATTCTGAAGATTGTCTCTTCAGTCTGGTGATTCCTTCCTTTCCTGTACAGAAGATTTTTAATTTCAGTTTTCCCCATTTGTCAATTATTGGAGTTATTTCCTCTGTTACTGGATTTCTTTTCAGAATGCTCCTGCTTAGGCCTGTATCTTGAGGTATTTTTCTCATGTCTTCCTCTAGCATTGTCAGCATTTCAGGTATTATATTAAGGTGGTCAATCCATTTTGAATGAAATTTTCAAATTTCAAAAAGCAACATGGATCTAATTTCATTTTCTATGTATGGTAATCCCTTTTTCCCAGCACCACTTGCTAAGGAGCCTCTCTTTTTTCCAACACATATTTTTGACATTATGCCAAAAACTAGAGGGCTGTTGCTGTGTGGATTTAGGTCTGTGTCTGTTATTCTATTCCCTTTGTTTACATGTCTGCTTGTGTGCCAGGACCATGCTGTTTTTGTTACTGTCTCTACAGTGTAACTTGAGATCAGGCTTTGTGATATTTCTAGCATTTTGCTCTCTCTGCCTTGGATTGCTCCTGCTGTTGGGGGTCGTCTGTGCATCCCTATACATTTTAGTATTGTTTGTTCCAGCTCTGTGAAGACTGTCATTAAAATTTTGATGGGGATTGCATTAGATCTGTAGACAGCGTTTGGTAATATAATCACTTTCATCATATTGATTTTGTCACTCTAGGAGCATGAGAGGTATTTCCAACTTCTAGTGCCTTCTTCAGTACTTTAAGTTTTCATTGTGGGATTTTTTAAAACCTCTTTGGCTAGACTTATTCCTAGGTAGCTTTTCTTCCTCTGAGGCTATTATGAATGAGATTTTGTTTTTCCTGGTCTTTCTCATCAAGTTTGTTATTGGTACACAGGAAAGGTACTGAATTTTCTGTGCTGGTTTTGTAAACTGCTCTGTTGTTGCTGAAGATATTTTTCAGATCCAAGAGTATTCTGGTGGAGTCTTTAAAGTCTTTTAAGCATAGGATCAATTAATCTACAAATAGGGATAATTTGACTTCTTCCTTTCCTATTTGCATTGCTTTCATTTATTTCTCATCTTATCGCTGTAGAACTTTGAGTGTTACGTTGGATAAGAGTAGAGAGATGGGGTATTCAATGGAGTCCCAGTAGCCTGACTAAATCTTACTTACTGTTCTTCCAGGAATTCCCACTCCTGGTGGGCCCGTGTCACCTGGGGAGCCGTGGACACCTGGCAGTCCTCTTTCACCCTGTGAAATGAGGTGCTCCTGTTAGTGCAAGGCTCAAGAGAGATGAATTTTTTGTTCACATTTTGTTAATTGTTAATTCTTTGTAAATTAATCATGATATTTGTATACCTTTGGTCCACGAGGACCAGGCACTCCGGGATTTCCATCTAGTCCCTAAAAGAAAAAAAAAAGTAAGCTAACTCCTTTTCTTTTTCTAAATAATTTAAAACATATTAGAAGTTGTAATTAGAAAATATGGCACAGTCCTTCACTTTACTTACTGTTAAAAAAGAATAAATAATGGAGAGTAAATTTTAGTAGATTATAGATTTTGTATAATTGACTCAAAATGTAGGTTTTTATCTATACAATTAAACATCTAATATGTAGAATTATTACCATTATTTGTTGACATAAAAGTGATATAAAGAGCCTGAGGAAAAAAGGCAAACCAAAGACATACATTTGTGATTTTGGTTTCTGGTGACCCAGTTTTCCATGTCCTGGGGAAAGAGTGAATTACAGAGACTTTCTGTGAGTGGCAGCCTATGGTCATGTCTGCAAAAGTCTGAAAGGAATTGTCAGGCAGTTTTTTCAAGACAATGCCTGAAGTTTGAAACCAGTGTTATTTGAAATCAGTGTGTTAGGATCCAGGAATCAGCACATAGGGTTCAGGGGCCTTTGAAACTTCTGAAACTGTATGTGAAATGTTGTATGCTGGGTGTCTTCTGACAAAGAGACTCAGTGATTTATAACAAACCAACGTTCAATTTATTTTATCTTTATGAACTAGATCTAAAGGATAAGATGAGCATTTTAAAAGAAGGTCTTAACTTATACTTGTTCCTTGGAACTGGTAGTGCACAAGTAGCAACGAATGAATTTTCAAGGACAGTATTTAGAAGGGCTGGTACTTACTGGCTCCCCTGGCAGGCTTTTCCCTGGAGGCCCAGCCTCACCCTTTGGACCTGGAAGTCCAGGAGGTCCTATCTTTCCACCTGGATCTCCCTGTAGAAAGTAAGATGAGATTCCGTGTTTCCTGCTGAGGTTTATGAAGTGGGGAAACAGTAGTTTCCATTGCTTTAAGTTGGCACAGTCAGTCAAGCTTCATTTTCATGCTTCCTACTCATTCAGTTTCTCAAAAGCATCTACTAAGTACTGAGTTCACTCTGGGTACTCTCCTTTTTTATCTTAAACACATTTAGGTTTTGTAATGAGTTCTGTTGCAGTACATTTAGCAGTATCATGAAACGTGCACACATACACAAATACAGGCACAAGGGGCATGTTTATTCAAGAAGTTCTTTAAATGATCTTTTAAAAATGTACTGAATTTTTGTGTATTTCATACAGAACATCTTAATCATCTTTATATCCCCTTCCCCACTGGTGTCCTCTCATAGCCCTCCTCCACTGGAATTCAGATATTCTGTCATTTGTGTTAAAGGCTATCATGTCAAGTTAGTGTCTCCAGATGCCCCTTCATGCAAGTTCATCCACTGAGGTCTAGTCAGCCTATCTAGAGTCCCTCTTTTTAAGAAGATCAGCTCTTCCTCATTGAGCAGTTATCATGTACCAATAATTCTTCGACTAAGATTGGGGCCTGCTGCCCATTTCCACATTTCTGTGCTGGGTTTTGTCTGCTTGAGTTTGCATGGGTCTTGTGCATGCTGACACTATTGCTGTAGGTTTGTATGAGAAGAGTCCTCGGAGCCTTAGGACTGTTTCCCTATAGTTATGGACCCCCTACCTTGCTCTTACAGTCTTTCTGCCTCCTCTTCCACAATGGTCCCTGAGCCCTCTTTAGACGATCTTTTTGTTTTATTACTTAAGAATGATTCAACATTAATAAGGTACTTCCACATCGACATCAAGAGCCAGGGCCTGAAAGGTTAAGAGTTCAGAGCTGATCCACAGTCTGAACATCTTCACCTCCAAGCTCATTTTGTCATAGGGTGTTTCTATGCCAGAACCAGGGATGCTAAAGTGCACAACTCCAGAGGAGCCGTTTATGTCACAGTTTATCTGAATGTCTGTCCCCTGCACCAGTAGACCCTGGGAGGCTCAAACCTTGTGCTAATCTTTCACTTCTCCAATAACCTTATGGTCCCTGGTCTCTTCTTTCCATTTGGTGACTTAATATACAAAATGAGTAAGATGCAAACTATACCTTTTCTCCTTTAGTGCCTTGTTTCCCTGGGATACCATGTTCTCCTGGCAATCCCTAGAAAACAGAAAATTAAAGGGAAAAAAGACCTAGAACATCTCTTATTATAACAACATTTTTACCTTTATAAGAGAACAGAGTTTTAACATGTATCTATAAGACTGAAGGTTGATTTTGGCCTAAAGAGAAACATTACTTGAAAATATGTGTTTTTTTGCATCACGTGAAGTCACTAACCATAACTGAAAATAGAGGAAGAAGAATTGAAAGAAATGTTCCACTCCAGAAGGGGCAGGACATTGGTGGCTGGTAGCATCACATCGTGACTCAAAAAGTCGACACTTTTTAAACCATATTTTGCCACAGCGACTCTTTCCATTTTAATTTTATGCTCTTTTTAGCTGCACCCACAATCAGTTAATCTCACTGTAGTATCTCATGGTTTTACTTGTATTATACGCATTTTCTCTTTTTTCATAAGACCTTTCCACTAAGTATTTCCAAAGTGGTTCAGTAATTGGCTAGAGGAGGAAGAAAAAGCTTTTCCCTGTGACTGAATGTTCAGATTACCAAGCAGAATATGAGAACTAACCAATTACTCCCAAGAGGCTCAGACAGTGAGTGTGGAGAGGAAAAAGTCATGGGCCTGCTTCCAAGATGATGGAAAGAGGAGAGATCCTGAATTTTCCCAGTGAGAACTAAAGTTATGGTCAGACAGTGACTAAAGCTTCAGTCGAGAATGTTTCTCATTTTGCTTAAGTTTTGTCTTATGGTAAGCTCTAAGTTCCCATATTGTGAGAAGCCTAGGAGCATGTCCAAGGGGTAGAAATCTGGGAGCATAAATGGAAAAGTGCTTCTACAGAGCATGAAGGTGTGTATATGCA